ATAAGACCAAGGATGTAGATTAGGACACTGTCATATTTTTCTTAATGCTTTCACAACAGAAACATATGTGCACCCTAATATCCCTAAGTATACACATCATGTGTGTGTGTGTGTGTGTGTGTGTATTTCAATAGAAAGGCAATGTAGAAGAGTGGAAAAGAGATCTGGCCTCAAAGACACCTAGGATCTAGTTCTAGTTCTACTTCTGACATCTACTGGTTCTTAGTGCCCCAAGCTATCAGAACAATTGCCATTAGCATTGGTGGAATGAATTTCCTCGCTACAATTTCCCTATATCAATGAAATCACAAATCCAGAGCAAATGTATCTGAATACTTGAGCAGATTGTAACCTCCATAATATTGGTACTATATCAATTGCTGCAAATTGCAGCCTCTCCCTGTCCTCTCATCCTGTGCAGTTCTTTAACATGTTCTTCTACCCAAATTTCCCCCAGAAGATCCACAGAATATGCCAGGGATTTCCTCCAGGATTTTTTATATTTCATGGATCCCAGTGGAGCAGTTGACCTGTTTATCTATTTTCTATCATTCTTGCCATGTGACTCGCCTACTGCCTTTTCCAATCATATGTTTCCTCAGTGATAATAATAATCTAAACCACTTCTTGAATATTGGACATCATTAGAAATTTCTTGCAGTATGCTTATGTCCATCACGCTTCTCTCCATTGACTTTTGAGTTACCTACAACAGTAATTTCTCAGAGATTATGGTATTCTGAGCTTTTTAACTATAGAGAATCTCAAGGTGCATATTTGTGTTGAAAAGATGGGCCTTTGTACCAAGGAGCAATTAAAAGTACCACAGAGTTTCCCAAAAACAGTCAATCCCAATCCATTGTTTCTATTCAATTCTGGGTCTAATTTGTTGTCTATTTATGGTACCTATGCCAGTTATTAATGCTCAAGTACTAACTCAATGGACTGGCATCTAAATTCATCCTGAGTCTGTATAGTTGGCATTTTTCACCCATTTAGTTTCTCCTGTATGACTTATTAGGCTGATCTCTTTTGAATAATTATGGATCTCATTGAGAAGGCTCTGTAATGTTTTTGTTGCTTGATGACATTAGTATATCATTTGCAACAAGAGCACCTGAAGGACCTCTAGCTACAGAGAATTTCTCTTCCCTTTAAACCCTACAGAAGACATCTTCTATGATAGCCGGCACATTTTGGCAAGGATATGTTTTGTTTCATGTATCACTTGATATTAATAATCATTGAGCAAATTATCTCTGTGCTGATATTTATCAAAGTATCTATCATGATCTTAAACATATTCATGAGAACCTCCTAATGTTGGAAGATAACCTTTAAGGCTCAATTTTGTTCTACCTAGTCAAATGCTTTTAAAATAGTAAACAAACAAAAAACACAGAGGGATCTTGAATTCTCTGCACTTTGCAGTCAGTTGTGGTGCTTTAAAGATATAGTTTGCTATCAGGTACTATTTGTGAAGATTTGCTCTTTTTCTTCTCAGATTTTTATCCAGGATACCCTCAATATGCATGTAGCTCATTCTTATAAAGATTTTATAAAGATGAGAAAGTAGGCATGTCTTAGTAGTTATTGATGTTTTCTTAGGCACCTTTTGGGGGCCTCAGTATTACCTGGTTTTCCCCATCTTTTGATATCTTCCTCCACCTGAAGATATCAGTGCTTTCAAGATTATATTGCCTCCAGCAGAGATTTCCTTAGTGTCTGGTCTAGTCACTTTTCCCAACTTTGTAAAGCCCATTTCTACTTCTTTGTTTTGCATATTGAAGACTAAGATGTTGGGGTCCAAATGTGGCAGCTCCTCTTTACCATTAATGAAATAGGTCATTACGGAACCAGTGACAAATTTGGTCCATTTTATATGTTTTAAATACTCCTGCCAGTTTCATATTTGAATGTTCTTTGGTTGTTGTGACTCATTTGGGTCTCTTGTCAAATTGTTTATGGACCTGTTTTTGCTTCCACTGTGTTTTTACTGTTTTAAAAGGTGATACTATTAATTTAATATTCTATTCCATTATTGCTCCCAGCTTCTATCTCTCTCTACTTTGCAAAGAGGCCAAATTTTGCTGGCTAAGTCAGTTTTTGTGCTCTGTTGGCCTCCTCCTTGTGGCAACTCTTTTATATGCATTAAACATGCAGGAAATGGTGGTGTTAATTAAGGTCAGGATCTTTGTCTTTTTTTTTCCATTTCCCAGTCTCATTAACAGTTTCTTTCAAATAAACCAAGTAAGATAGGTGTCCTCTCATCTTTATGCTTTCTTTTAATGTAATATTGATGTCAGTCTCTTTGCTCTAACTAGTAGATGGTCCAATAGCACAAAGACATCTGATTCAGATCTGTTTCTCACATCAGTTACCAATTGTTTCCTCTCCCTTCCATTACAGTCAACTTCCTTTCTATAATGTTTGGTGTTTACCTTGTCCAGTGCCTTCAGATTCTTTTTAGTAAGAATGTGTTCATGACATATAGCTGTGAGATTTGTAATAGTCCACAAACCTTTGGCCTCTTGTTCTTCAAACCTAAGACATTTTTAAATCACCCTCTCTTTGCATTCCTATTTTCAGGTCATATTGACTTGGTGTGGAGGAGCTGTTTACGGTCTTCATAGAATTTCTCTGCCTTTTCATCCTTTGCAAAAGATGTTAGCACATAAGCTACAGTTATCTTCATACAGGTCTTTTTTTAATGATCATCATGAGCACTACCAGATGAGAGAATCAAGTACATATTAACATTAAATGATGTTTCTTGTTGACTTTGATTGAATGATTAAGCCAGCTCTACCAATTCCTTGGTTTACCTCTCCAAGGAGATACAATAACATTTTGTCTCCCAGTTTTATTGCAATAACATCAGTTTTCATTTTTTCCATTATAGCACGTTAATTAATTGGTCACCAGACCAAAGATCTCACATTTAAAGTGCCTGTGGTTAAGTTGATGGTTATGGATTTCTAAAAGCTGTGTGGTTTTTGGCACCCTGTGCTCTCCTTTCTGTCCCTGTCAGTATGGAGAAAGGAAGAGCCGTATTGGATTGAGGTCCATTTAGATATCTTTATTTCATGGGGTGCCACAATCAAAGAATTCATCATCTGTGGTCTACCTACTGGTGATGTGGCTCTGTTCTTCATGTCGGTCCTTAGACAGCAGAATCAGTCTGGCACCAGATTTCAAGCTAGAAGCTTCTGAAAATCAGAGAACTTGCCAGCACCTATGTTCTGCTGTTATATCCCTTAAGACCCCAGAGTCACTTAGATGCCACAGAGAAGTATCAGGATAGGAAATGATGTGAAGCATTAAAATTGGTGTAGCAGCAGACAAGTTGTTCCCAGCTGACAAATGGTTAAAGGATATGAACAGGCAGTTTTCAGAGCTATCAAAGCTATCAATAGTCACATGAAAAAATGCTCTAGATCACTATTGATTAGAGAAATGCAAATCAAAACAACTCTGAGGTACCACTTCACACCTATCAGATTGGCTAATATGAGAGAAGAGGGAAATAAGTGCTAAAAGGGGTATGGAAAAGTTGGGACATTGTTGCCATCCCAATGCACTGTTGGCAGGGTTGTGAATTGATCCAACCATTCCAGTGAACAGTTTGGAACTATGCCCAAAGGGCTATAAAACTGTGCAAACCCTATCACCCAGCAATACCACTAGTAGGTGTGTATCCCAGAGAGATCAAAGAAAAGGGAAAAGGACCTATATGCACAAAAAATATGTATAGCAGCTCTTTTTTGTGGTGGCAAAGAATTGGAAATTGAGGGAATGCCCATCCAGTGGGGAACAGCTGAACAAGTTGTGGTATATGATTGTGAGAGAATACTATTGTGCTAGAAGAAACAGCAAGCAGGATAGTTTCAGAAAAGCCTAGAAAGACTTACATGAGTTGATGCAAAGTGAAGTGAGTAGAATAGTCATAACAATACTGGATGATAATCAAATGTGAATGACTTAGTTATTGTCAGCAATACAATGATCCAAGACAGTTCTGGAGTACTTATGATGAAAAATGCTGTCCACCTCTAGAGAGAGAACTGATGAAATCTGAATGAAGATTAAAACATACTTTATTTACTTTTCTTGGGGTTCTTTTGGTCTGTTTTCTTTTACGATATGGCTAATGGTGTTTTGCATGACTGCATATGTGTAGTCTATATCAAATTGGTTGCCTTCTCAGACAGAGGGAAGGGGAAGGAGAGAGAATTTGGAGCTCAAAATTTTTTTTAAATGAATGTTAAAAATTATTTCTTCATGTAATAGGGGAAAATATTAACAAAAAAGAGAGAAACTATCAATTCCATTGGCCAGTATCAATTCCATGGTCCTTTAGGCAGGACCATACATTTCAGGTGAATGAAGTTGGAGAAGGAGAAAAAAAAAAGAGGTACATATCTATTTATCTATATCTGTAGATAGATGGATGGATAGATAGATGGATGGATATCCTTGCCTGGTAGATACTTTTTACGAGTTCTTTAAATGTATTGAACATATTAAATTACCTGAAGGTTATACAAATTGTGATAGTACATTATAACACATTAATATTTGAAGAAGTTAAAGAGTTCTCATTGATTCTAAAGATTTGGGAAGTTCATTAAAGCCTGAGTATTACAAATCAATTTTGCAATTCATTCCTATTTAATAAGTAGAGTGTGGAGGGGAGGGCAAGTTTTGGTGGTATGTAATCTTTAAAAAGATCAAAAGAATGTGAATTTTTAGCAGACTTCATTCTTGTAGCCTACCAAGCATCTTCTGTGTGAAATACAGAATTTTGTTACAGGTGGTTGCCAAATAAAACTGTCTAATTAGTATATTTGTGTTGGGTTAGAAACAAGTTGGGCTTTTTTTTGGGGGGGAGGCGGGTTAAGCCAAGCTCACCAGGTTCCAATGTTTTCCCATATTTAATTGCATGTTTTCCCCTCATGCCAAGATGCATTACCCCTAAAAAATCCTATTTGCTTTTACAGGCATTTACAGAGACACAGAAAAAAAGATTGTTGTCATGGAAACAGCAGGTGCAGAAGCTCTTTCGGTCTTTCCCTCGGAAAACCCTTCTAGACATATCAGGATATCGACAGCAAAGAAAGTATGTTGGGATTTCATTCATTATGATGCATGTTAGTTACCTTAGTGACTCATTTGCCTGGTTTGGGTTCTGAACACAGTAATATGCTTGAGTATCACATGTTGTTCATGGCAGGTACCTTGTGGCAAGTTCTAAAATAGTCATTAAATGGGTGGGGTTGTGGAGGGGAAAGTATTGAAAGAGTTCCCTGAGGAAGATATGAATTAGGTCCTTTGTGCCTCAAAGTGATTTCCTGAGCAAGATTTTCTCCATTTAATGAATACTTGCAAAACACTTAAATATGTGCAGGTGAAGGAGAGCCAAGTATTGTTGTTCAGCCAGCAGCCCGTATGGTTGTGTGAGGGTTTTTTTTTCTTTTAGCTGCAGACAAGCTAATTATAGTTGATGGCTGGATTAAGCATAACACTGCTATTCTATTTTGGACTGAGCTGCAGTCTAAAACTGTAGACGTATCATTCTTGATTTTAGATGATAATTCAGCTCCTCGGGAAAAGGTGAAAATAAACTTCATTGTACTTTAGAGCTTCTAGATTTATACTGGTTTGAATTTGGTATCCAATTGCTTTTTGATGCTGAATTATGGGGAATGGACAGATTAATCTGAAACTTTATATGGTTACCAAATTCACAGAAAAAAAAAAGATGCTCAGAATTCCCTTGGTCCAACCTCTGCCTGTAATACAGGAATTCCCTCAACAATATTTTCAATAAGTATTCATTCAGCATGCATTTGAAGATCTGTATTTAGAAAGAACCAACTACTATCTCCCAAGGCAGTTTATTCTAATTTGGTTAGCTATAATTGTTAGACAATTTTTCTTTACATTCCTGTAGAATGTAAGTTCCTTGAGGGCAAGTATTGTTTAAGATCCTTAGTGTCTGGCACCATGCCTGGCAAATGGTAGATAGTTAATAAATACTTCTGTAGTTGAACTATTAAATGAAGCTTAAATCTGATGCACTGCCATTGCTGCTAATCATTCCTAATTCTGATCTCTGGTGTCAAGCATAACAAGACTAATCTGTCTTCTTCATGACAACCCTTCACATATTCAAAGATGTCTATTATGTCCTTCCTTGGTGTTCCCTTCTTCAGGCTAAACATCCCCACTTCCTCCAACTGATCCCTATGTTACTTGGACTGCAGGGTTCTCACTATCCTGGTTGTATGCTTTTAGATGCTTCCAAGTTTGTCAATCTCCTTCCTAAAATGTGACACACTCAGAACTGTCTACTTACTAGAACCATGCTTGGACCAGGGTGATATATAGCAGGTTTAGGCTGAATCAATCTAAGGAAAAAGAGTCTCTGTCAAGATCCTGAAAGGTGAACTAATCACCCTTCCACATTCAGGAAGAAAAACACTTCCAAAGGGAATATTTTTACTTGATTCTTGGACGCTTTTTTTCCCAGCCAAAGACAACGTTTATTAAAGATCCACCATATTGGCCGGACTCTTAAGGAATCTGAACATTAGTGAGCTATTAGCTAGATTTTAAGAATCTGAGTACTGGACTTTTAAAGAATCTGAGCACCTCAATGGAGGCCAGATGGACCTTATATACAGAGTGTGGGAAGGATCTGGGGAATGGCCAGTAGGTTGGGGTGACTGGAGGAAGGGTCTGGGGAGGATTTTGACGACAGTGGTAGACACTTTTCTCAAGAGATTGTTTTTGTTTTTGCTTTGTATCCCTAGCACTTAGCACAGTGCCTGGTTCATTAAGTGTTTAATAAATGCTTGAAAAAAAATAAAAATAAATAAATGCTTGATCATGAAGTGAGAGAATATATGAAAAGATTCTACAGACCTTAAAATGCTACATATAAATGCTAGTTATTATTAATTGACTAAAGAATGTAGATGTGAGGCATTAGTAACTTGAACACAGCCACCTTAAGTCCTTAAAGGAAAAAAAAGACAATCAGACTTTCTAGAGATTTTCTTTTTTGCATAGGTGAAGTAGACCTCTTACCCTATAGACTATCCAAAGTGAAGTGTTGATATTTGCATTTATGGAATATTAATACAGATCCATTTATTGGATAAATCCTATTATTTTTCCAGAGAGGTGGAAAGTTTTAAAATAATAGTCTCATGACGAAGGAAGCGTTTGTTTAGAGTCCTATCATCTTCCTCTTTTCGGACACTATGTCTTTCTTATTGCAGACCTAAGATTAAATTAGTTTTTGCTTGCCAAAAAAAGAAGTCACACTGTTGACTCATTGAGCTTTCAGTATGTTCACGCTCCTCCCCGTTTGTTGGGGATAAAGTGTTAGGTCAACAAGAGGAAAATAATATAAGCATCAAGATCATCAGAATCCTATTTTATATAGTAAACATATATAAATCAATATTTTCTTAACACCTCTACCTAAAAGATCTAAAATTTCTTACATATATGTGTGCAAATATATGTATTTGCATGTATATACATTCAGATATGTCTTGACAATGATTGTTTAATCTTTTGCATATATTCACATACAGTACATCTGTTCAAAAAGTTAAAACCTAATTACTTGGTACTAATTGGAGGAAGAAAAGGTCAATCTGAATTAGAAAAATCTTAGTTATTTAAAGAATATCAGTTTTTATTTTCCAGTTTCATTACTAACATTAACAGAACTAAGCTAATGAGAGAAGTAATTCTTGGTCCTGCATTTTATATAACTTCTTCAGCAATTGAATTTGACTGGATTTTGTTCAATTTGACAAATATTGCCATTTGAAGCTCATTTATGGGGACTTCAGAGAAAATAAATTGAAAACCATCTATGATGGTCTTGAATTATTGAGGATAAAGTGCTACTTGCAGGGAAAAGAAATCGTAAACATATACTGATCATCAGAATCAGATTTTACATATCAAATATGAATAAATAAATAATATCAAAAATAAATTGTTTCTGTCTGGGCATACATATAAAGAAGGACATTGCTAAGCTGTAGAGCATCCTAGGGTGAAGAGGGCAACCACAATGGTGAAGTGCCTTAAAGTCATGCTATACGAGAGTGGGTGGAAATATTTGGAGATGTCCAGTCTCAAAATGAAAAGACATGAAAGGAATATGATCACTCTCTTCAAGTATTTGAAGGGCTGTCATGTGAAAGAGTGATCAGGCTTTTTCTGCTTATCTCCACAAGGCACAACTTGAAACAATGGGTTGAATTTTCAGATAGGTATGTTGGTCTCAATGTAGTAAATAGGCTGCCTCAGGAAGTAATGGGTTTCCTATCACTGAAAATTTTCTAACAGAAGGAGGTCAGTGGCCACTTTGGAGGGAATTTATATATACAAGTTGGACTATAGATGGGCTTAGAGGTGCCTTCCAGTTCTCATAATTATGTGATTTCTCGTCAAATATGTGCTGCTAAAGCACTGAAAAATTTCTTATTAGTAGATCAAACATTTCCCCTGAAATCTTTTCCCTCCCTCTATTAATTTGCTTTAGAAATCTGCTTTTTTATAGATAGTGAAAAGATGAACTTTATCCCAGACTCTCCCAGAATTACCCAAAATTCCATATTAGTGTGTTCTTACTAACAATCTTAGGATATTTACTCTCTCATTAATTTTGACAATGAAATCAATTAATTATCTTTAGAGAGTTAGAAGAGAAAAAAACAGAGATGCAAAAGAGAAACAACAGAAGGAAATATGTTTCTATCACTTTTTCTTTCTTCACCCCTCTTTATAGATAGCCTAATTGTTTAATTCAGACTCAAATGCCCCATAATAATAATGATCAGATCAATTATCAGTGATGGTAAATCTCAGATCCTCTGCCTTTTTGATCAGTTGGTCCAGGACATACATTCGCTAACTTAGCTGTCAACTTAAACTCTGTCAGCCCCATTCAATATAATTTATTCTTTCTAGTTCAGCCTTTCTGTAGCTAGGAAAGGACTTTCACAGAGTGTATAAATTTTAGTGGAATCATCTACCAAGTGACCAAAATTCATTAAGAAACAAAAGAAAGAAAGAGAAAAACTAAGCAGTCCAGAGAGACCAGGAACATTCTTCCTTCTCACTCTCCTACATACTTCTGAGTGTGGAATATGAGTCAGTCAGGCAACACGAATTTAAGCACATACTGTGTGCCAGGTTCTACACTCAACACTGGAGATACAGAGAAAGGCAAAAACAGTTCCTGTTCAAAGAGCTCACTTTCTAATTGGGTGTTGGTGGTGTAGAGTAGAGAGGGACAACATCCAAGTAATCATATTACATACAAGATTTATAGATATATAGACATAGCATAAACTAAAGGAAATCTCAGAAGGAAAGCACTGGATGGGAGGTGAAGAGTAGGAGGGAGGTCTCTTCCAGAAGGTGAGATCAAACTGAGTCTTGAAGGAAGATGGGGAATCCAGGAGATGCAGGTGAGGAGAGAAAGTATTCTAGCTGGTGAAAAAGCAAGGAACTGGGAGATGAATCTTCATTTATGAAGAACAACAAGAAAACCAGTGTCTTAGAGTACATGAAGAGAGGAGTAAAATGTAAAAAGACTGGGAAGGTAGGAAGGACTTTAAAAACCAAAGAATCTACATTTGATCCTGGAGGTAATTGAGGTTTTTTGAGTAGTACTGCAGTTCAGGAAGAACACTTTGGCAGGTAAGTGGAAGATGTGCTGGTGTGTGGGGAGAGACATGAAGCAGGGAGAACAACCAGCATGCTTTGCAGTAGTTCAGGTGTGACCTGATGAAAGTCTACACCTGAGTGGCAGTTGTAAGTGAGGAGAAGGGAATTTATACAAGCGATGTTTTGAAGGTGTGTCATAGGATATATGGGACCTTTTTTCTTGATCACAAACAGCCTAGAAAGCGAAGCTACTGAGCCAGCAAATGAGCTGTAACAAGTTTATCAATTTACCAGTTTCAGGGCAGAGTTTATGTTTCTTCCCCCTGGGGAAAAATAAATTCTGGAGAGCAGAAAAATATCCCAAGGCATAATTGTGTTGATAATTTAGATTCTCCTTCTCTCTTCCTTCTCCAAACCAATATTCTTAGCAAATCACAGTGTTCACAGCCCCCCTTTATCCCCAACTTGTTAAAAACTGTCTCAACCCTGACTCTAGATGTTTCTTCAGAAATAGTGTGTGCCTATCTTGTATAGATAGCTAAGGAAAGTAAATCTGTTCCATCTTGTGGCAGTCTGGGGTAAAGCATTTTGATTTAAACTATTGAATATAAAAGCTGACACTTCTTGGAAAGAATGTACTGGTTCCTAAAACATTGCTCACTGCTATGTAACCACATAGAATCTGAATGCGTTCACCAGAGAGAGAATGAGTTCTTCAAGGCTAAAAAAGCAGAGGAGAAATTGTCAGAACCGGAAGGCCATAGTCCCTAATTACCTAACCAACTAGATCTGAGTGAATGTTTGGGCTTGTTAGGATGTCTAGAGGTTAGACTGATTTCTGCACAGAAAGCCCTTCCAGTATCCTCAGGATTAATAGAATATGATGACTGCCCGATGCTGCTTCTCACTGGGGGAGGATGGGAAGAAGAGAATAAGGGAAAAATTGAAATTGTGTAAAAGGGAGTTGAAATGTCTCGTGTTCTTCTTGTTTTCCTTCCATTTTGTGACAGTCGAGGTTTTGGACAGTCAAACTCCTTACCAACAGCAGGTTCTGTAGGTGGCGGCATGGGTAGGCGGAACCCACGCCAGTACCAGATCCCTTCAAGGAATATCCCTTCAGCGAGACTTGGCCTATTGGGTACCAGCGGGTTCATCAGCTCCACTCAGCGTAGTGCGGCAACCAACCCCACCATCCTAAAACAAGGAAGACAGGTTTGTTTCCCTTCAGCCTTTCTCAGCTTTTCTCTTTTTCCCTTTGCCAGAGGGGGAAAGTTTACCAAGTTCAGAAACAGAGATGCTGCAGAGCCCCTTACCCATAAAGCTCTAGATGTTCCCATAAGCTCAAAGAGCAACTGGGCATTTTACCAGTGTCCTGTGGAATAGCCTGCCCGTTTTGCACTTTTCAGACATAAGGAGGAAACAACAACAGTCAGTGCCTGGAGAAAGGCAGGAGAATTTGTCCAGCTTGCTTTGTAAAAATAGTTTTACCTGATGTACTCCCACATTTGAGGCAGGGCCTGTAAGAAGAGGCACAAAATTCATCTGTCTTTTTTTTTTGTCTTTTTGTATGTGAAAATACACATAGAGGTATCCTACATAGGGTCAGCTTATCTTTAAATTTTCAATGTGAGCATTTACACCTGAGAAATCAGGGTTTGATTTTTATTTTATTCATTATCCAGACTGAAGAAAGTGATGGAGAAAATGGAAGTCATGCAAATTAAACTTAAAAGTGTCATGTTTGTAATTTTTTTTCCAGAGAACCAGTTGTTAAACATTTACCAGCACACCACTGCCTATGGGTTATAATCTAGGTTATGATCAGGTGGACCTGAATATTATTTACCCCATTGTGGAGTACATTCAAAATGAGAAAGCCTTTTGACCAAGGAAAAAAAGTACCCTTGGGATCAACATAGAGTGGTGTGTGGGGAGAGTTCAAATCTTCTCAGTATGGCGGCAGGTAGATGGTTCTGGAGTGATAAGGACCTAAATTCAAATCCAGCCTCAGACACTTGACACTTACCACCTGTGTGACCCTGGGCAAGCCACTTAACCCCAATTGCCTCACAAAAAAACAAACAAATCTTCTCAGTAGGGTGTGTGTGTGTGTGTGTGTGTGTGTGTGTGTGTGGTGTGTGTGTGTGTGGTGTGTGTGTCCAGAGGTTCTCAGTGCAAGTTAGGATGAGTTCTCTTCTATCCCACCACTGCTCCACAAATCCACAACTTCCCCTCAATCCTTCAATGGGGGGGGGGGGATAGAGGAGGGCAGAGAATTTTGTTTCTAATTGGCCACTATACATTGGGGGAATAGCAAAGGGATACTAAAAGGAACTTGGGTAGAAATACTGTGTTTTAATTTGTCAGGCCCAAGAGGTTAATGGAGGGATTTAAAATGAGCAAAATGTACTCAGGGCAGTGTAAGCCAAATTGAATCACCAAAAAAAGAGACGTTAGATGCAGCAAACGTCACTTTCCAGACTTTCCTCATTCTCTGACTCATTCAAAGAGAATCCGCTGCTAAGGAAATCCAAGTAATTTTAAACATGCCAGCTTAGTGTGTGGAGCAGTTATTATTTTCTTCCTCTGATTAGATTTCTGGCTCCTTTATTTAAAAAAAAAAAGGCAGAGAATTTCAAAACCAAACCCAAAAGTAGAGATAATTCTCTGCCACACATATTTCCTGATCTTCCCTATTACATAGAAAGCAGGAGAATGAAAGGAATAGGAAGAAGTCAGAGAGAAAAGAATCCCTAATAAAGTCATGTCTCACAGAGAGGTCTAGGGGAGCCAAAAATAAAGCAAATGGAAGTTATAAACCCCTCCAAGTACCAGGACAAGTTCTGGCTATAAATAAGCAGGGAAGATACCACAGATGGACCTGGAAACATATCCCCAGAATTTAGCAGAGACAGATATTTAATAGCATTTGCTTCCTGCCTGAACTCTGGCATTTGGGGGTGGGGGGTGTTTCTGTCTGCCTAGAATTGTGCATGTTATATGTGCAGATACACACATGCACACCCTTTTTCCTCCTAGAATCTTTGGTTTGCCAACCCCGGGGGCAGCAACAGCATGCCAAGTCGAACTCACAGCTCCGTCCAAAGGACTCGTTCCCTGCCAGTTCACTCATCCCCGCAGACCATGTTGATGTTCCAACAGCAAGGTAAGACATTTTTCTCCCTCGTGTTAATTGATATAGAGTACAGTAAAGTAAATTAAAATAGCTGCCTTGGTGACCCTGGCCTAAAAGTGCTTAGCCTTGACTGTCAAACACATTCTTGTGTGTTTATGAAAGCCTTTCCTTTTTTAAACCACATTGTCAGCATGAATAAGGGCTAGTTGGCTGGGATCCAGGAGACACACACACTGGAGTCTATTAAAATCTGACCAAGATGTTTTTTGATGCTAGTTAGATTACTGGAGTGACTTAACCAGAGTCATTAGTGGGGAAACAACATATATGTTACATTCATGATAATGCAGCAATGCCCAAGACAGTGCATTGTACAGTAGTGTATGTTGCTAAGAACCAAATAGACATAGATAGTATAGGTATATGTTGCTAAGAACCAAATAGACATAGATAGTATAGGTATAAATAATAAATGTTACAAAACTCCAAATGAGGGAGATAACTGTGTGTTGGAGTAGCAGACAAGTCTTCAAGAAGCAGGTGAAACAGGATCTGGGCTTTGAAGAATGGATAGGATTCCAATAGGTAAGAGAGGAGTGGAATTCCAAATGTAGAGAATGGTATGAGCAGTGGTGCAGTGACAGGTATCCAGGGAAAAAGAGTGAGTATACCAGGCCGGCTAGAACATGGGCTTTTTGTAAGAACACATTGGGAGTTAAATTTCAGTCAGATTGTGGGAGACTAGGCGGCCCAGTGCATAGAGCACTGAACCTGGAGTCTGGATGACCTGAGTTCAAATCTAACCTTACTAGCTAAGTGACCTTGGTCAAGTCACTTCATCTCTGTCTGCTTTGGTTACTTCAGCTGCAAAACAGGGACAATAGCATTCTTGTGAGGATCAAATGAGATTTTTGTAAAGTGCTTAGCACAATGTAGAAGCTTAATAAATGCTTGTTTCCTTCCTTGAATGCCATTCTAAAGAGGTTGGACTTTATCTTTTTGCCAAATGGAACAGGGATATGGTGAAATTACTTAATGAAAATATTGATTTAGGAAAATCTGTCAGTGGTGGGTGTGTGTGTGTGTGTGTGTGTGTGTGTGTGTGTGCGCGCATGTGTGCACAATGAATTGGGGAAGGAGGGAGTGATGGGGGAAAAGGTAATCAGTTACAATACTGTCCAAGCATAAAATGATGTCGGCCTGAACTATGGGACGGTAGCAATGGGAATGGAAGGGAAAGGATAGCTGAGAATCTCAGAATCTCATTTTCATGGGGAAAACACAAACTACTTAATGAAAGCTTCCTCTTCTAAACGTCTCAGATCCCTCAAAATATTCTCTATTTCCTCTTTCCCTACAGACCCTTCATATGTGCCCCTGATACCTTCCCCTCACATCTTCTCCAGCTCATTGCCATCACTGTCATCTCCACTGTCTCTTTAATCTTCAATCTCTCCCTCTCTATTGGCTCTTCCACTGCTGCCCACAAACATACCGAGGTCTGCCCTACCCTTAAAAGAGCCTGATTTGATCCTACTGTCCACCCTGGCTATTGTCCCATTGTTCTCCTCCCTTTCTCAGCTAAACTTCTTCAAAAAGCCACCTCTACTTGATGCTTCTACTTCTCCTCTTAATCTCTTCTAAATCCTCTGCAAGATGGCTTCCAACCTCGTCATTCAACTGAGACCGGTATCTTCAACATTAACAATGATCTCTGAATTGCCAAGTCTAATGATCTGTTCCAGTCCTTAACTTTGACATCTCAAGCATTTGACATTGTTATCTCCTAGAGATTCTTTCCTAGGTTTTTGTGATACTGCACTCTCTTAGTTCAGTCTAATTCAAATGTGTCTGATTGCTTCTTCTCAGTATCCTTTGTTGAATCATCATCCATATTATGTTCACTAACCTTAGGTATGCCCCCCCCCAAATTCTGAACTTGGGCTCTGCTCTTTTTTCTTTGTATTTGCTTGCTTAATGATCTCATCATCCTCCTACAGATTCAGTTATCATTTCTATATAGAGGAGACTCACATCTATCTATCCAGCCATGGTCACTCTCCTGAGATACAGTCCTGTATCACCAACTGCCTGTTGGACATCTCAAAATGAATTGGATGTGCTATAGGCATCTTAAACCCAACATGCTAAAATAGAACTCCTTATCTTTCCCCTCAAACCCTACTTCTTCCCAGCTTGTTTGTTACCATCAAGCTCGCTATCCTCTCAGGTAGCCATGCTCACAACCTCAGTGTCATCCTTGACTCCTTACTCTAACTCACAGTGCATATCTAATCCGGTGTCAGATCTTATCATTTCCACTTTCACATCTTTCATTTACATCCCCTTCACTCTGCTTACACATCTATCACTCTAGTTCAGGCACTAATCTCCATTCACTCCTATTTCAATACCCTTCCAATTTGTCTTTCTGTCTCCACTCTCAGCCCACCCCAGTCCATCCTTCAATCAGGTATCAGAGTGATTTTCTTAAACTACAAGTCTGATAGTATCTCACCCCTTCTCCCAACTCATTAAACTCCAGTGATTTCCTCTGACTTCTAGGATCAAATATCAACTCCTCCATTTGTCAGGTAATTAAAACTCTTCACATGTTTGCCACTTCCTACAGAAACTCCTCTGTCATTTAAAGCGTTATACAACTTTTCCCCTTCTTGTCTTCTTATACTTTACTTCCCTTTCACAAACTCTTGAGATCCAGCTACCCTTGCTAACTCACCATTCCTCACACAAAACTCTCCACTTTGCACTAACTCTTTCTTATGCCTAGAATTCTTTCCTTCCTCATCTCTATCTCTTAGAAACTGTAGCTTCTTTCAAAACTCATTTGACCTGCTGCTTTTTGCAGAAGACCTTTCCTGGTTCGTTCAGCTTCAACAGCCTTCCCTTCCAAGATTAAATCCCACCTACTCTGTGTGTATCTTGTGTGGGTACCTTTTTATTTCTCTTTCCCCCATGAGAATGTTAGTTTCTCAAGGGCAGGAGCTGGTTTTGTCGCCTTTCCAACCCCTAGACCTCAGCCAGCCCTTGCTCCCTGGCTGACCGACAGAGATGGAAAATCTTGATTGACTCTAAACTCACCTTGGTCTCCTCTTCATCAAGAGCTGATTTGAAAAAAATAAATAGCAAACCTCCATGTGAACCCTTTTAAATATATCCTTTATTGGGGAAAATAGTTTCTAAAATTATAGGTTTATAAGGCCTGCCAGAAGTCATCATCATGTTTTCAGGCAAACTTAGACAGGAGAGAACCTAAACTAGAATTAAAGATATCTCAGGGTAAGGAGACTTTAAACCTTCTTGGTTACCCATTTCACTATTTCCACTTCCTCTTTATTAGGAAATTCTTCTGCTTTTAACCTTAAATTCCTTGGGCCTATACCAAATCCTCTCATTAGGAATTAAAAATAGCTCATCACTGCCCCCTATTTGAGAATCCTTAATATATCTGAAGACAGCTTGCCTTCAGCCTCCTTTCTCTAACCCACATTAATCACGAGAAATGTAGGTGTCATTGATTTTGATAAAGTATTGGGAGGTATTCTGTTTCATCTTAGAAACATGTCTCCAGAAGACAAACAGACCTCTTCATTGATCAGGTCAACAAATAGCTGCCTCAGTACTTCAGAGCAAGGAATGACCAGCAACTACTACTCTTCTTATATTCCTCTGATAAGCTTTCTACTATGGCCCAGCAATATTCTTTGGAAAGACAATCAGCTTCCTCCTCCTCAGAGCATCCAGGCCTCTCCTTCCACCCTTCAGCCCCCATTGCCTTTCAGGAAGAGCCTCAAATCTATTTTTATCACTAATTGCACAGCTGTCTTTTCTCTTCCCTTTCCCTTCTCCCACTCTCCAACACTGTGACAAGGGTCAAATCTCTTCTCCACTCAAATCCCCTCCACATTTTTAAAAATCAATTAAAGCCTCTCTTCTGTTTCCTTTAGGAAACTTCATTCTCCCTAATAGCCTAGAGTATCTTCAAGACCCTTTACCTTCTCTAGGAGGCAGATGAGCCTACCCTTCGAACATAGCTTACCTGTGGCAGAAATATAAATATTGCACATTCAGTGCATTGTACAGTTTCCCCTACCCCTCCATACTTAATGTTTGGGTTTTTCAGCCTTGTTTTTTTAATCTGTTCAACTCTGAGTACCTGCTTAAAATTTTTCCATCTAGTCGTTGCCACTTAATAACTGGTCAACCTCACTCAGCTTCCTTTCCTTATCAAGGCAGCTAGATGATGTAGTGGATAGAGCTCTGGACCAGGAAGTCAAGAAAACCTGAGTTCAAATCCAGCTGAGACACTTACTAGTTATGTGACCCTGGTTAAGTCACTTAACCTCTGTCCACCCAAGTTTCCTCATCTGTAAAACTGGGATAATAATAGCAACTACCTCCCAGAATTAAAGCCCTTTAAAACTTTGAAATACTATATAAATGCTATTCTTCTTCTCATGATTATCATTATTGCTATTATCAACAGCAAAATCAGCCATATCCACCTCCCTTTCAGACTTTCATCAACCTCCTATCTGTTTAACCAGTTTACCCCTTCGTCAATTCACCGTTTTATTTTGCTTAACCCTCTTAATTGGTCTAGGGTAACTTGGCAGCACAGCGGATAGAATGTCAGGCCTGAAGTCAGGAAGGACTCATCTTCCTGACTTGAAATCAAGCTTTAGATACTTACTAGCTGTGTGACCCTGGGTTAAGTAACTTAACCCTGTTTACCTCAGTTTCCTCATCTATAAAATGAGCTAGAGAAGGAAATGGCAAACCACTCTGGTATCTTTGCTAAGAAAACCCCAAATGAAGTCATGGAGAGTTGGACATGACTAAACAAAAACAATAACTAATGAGTCCACTTACCTTTTTTTACTTGCCTTGTCTTGTCTTGTCTTGTCGTACCTGTTACCTTCACCTTATTCTTCTTGAGTCTCACTTTTTAGGTTCTACTCACTAAATCTTCCTTTATCCTCCTTAATTGTTCTATATCCTACTCTTCT